ACAAAATGATGTAAAAATAAACTGTTATAAAATAAAAAATATATATATACACTTGTGTATGACAAGGAAATAATGGATTTATAGAATAGGACTTCAGGTTAATATGTTCATTACCAGACGAACTAAAAACAGTTAAGACAAGGGTTGCCACTAAAGGTGAAAGGGGTTGAGTGAAGATTTCTCATTATAAATAGGTCTTTTTACCATATGTGTGGATGATAGATTTTCAGTTTTTTTTTTTTTAATACTGGCAGGCTCTCTATCTTTTTTAAAATACATATTTTTAGTTATTTATTCATACAAGAACTAGAGTCTAGGCCATTGGTGTGAAGGCTAAGAGGATTTACCAGAGACAGAGTGGGGAGATAGGAGAGGTTGGGTTAGCTCCCTAGGTAGGGATTGAGCTTCATGCTGAAGTGAGTGGCAGTAACTTGATAGTGCTGAGACCTTAACCCCTGCACCACTAGGGCAGCCCAATTTTTCCATTTTATGAGTTAAAGATACACTTTAGAGATATACTTTTGCTAAGATGGTGGCAATACAGTAGACTTAGAGGAGCAGCCATCAGCAATGATCTTGATAGATCACCAGCAACCTAGAAGAATTGTTGTTTGGTTTTGTGCCACTCTTTACCATATTTTTGACTATGTTTTCATCTCTCCAGGATGTTTCTAGTTTAGGACCTTGCATATAGTAAGTGTTCAGTAAGTATTTGCTAGGGACTGGTTTTGAAAATAAACTGAAACTTAATGGGGAAGGTGACTTTCGCCATTTCTGTCCCACCTTCACCTCAAATATGTATTTCAAATAACACAATAAATTACTTGGTTATTTGTGTCACTGCAGCAGCAGTGGATGATTGCTTGGAGGGGTCAGGAGTTGTAGATTTGGCTTCCTTACCACTGAAATACTTTTTGTTTTTACTGAAATGTTTCTGTGCTGACTGATTGCTCTGAAAGACAGTTCAGTAAATCTGTATTAGTATTTTGCATAGTCTAGTAAAACAGCAGCACTATTTGTTATTTGGATATAGGGCATATCTCTGCAAGTGAAATACTGTAATGCCACAAATGACTATGCCTTTTCTCCTCAGGGTGAAAAGAACCGAGGACTAAGATTATGGAATGGAAACTGGAAGAGAGTGCTTGGAAAACAGAGCCTCATGTGCCATGGAGGCAGGAAGGCATCCCAGAGGACACGGGTGAAGATGGCATCTCTGAAAGCTTTCAGCTTCTGCAGATTGATGTGGAATGTGAACCCCAAGAGGAAGAGACCCAGCCCACAAACCCTGCAATGTGGTGCTCAGTGAGTTCGGCGAGTCATTTGACTATGGACTTTTAAGATCATGAACATCCCCAAAGATCCCCATTCTAAGGGCAGACACTGGTAACAAGAGATTAGGAACAAGTTTTGTGTATTCCAGGGGATGAATTTCCTACTAACTAGTTTAAGGTTTTGATCCCATTTGATTTATAGGGCAAGTAAAGGAGGAATTTTGGGAACACCACCAAAGAGCCAGAAAATCCGAATTTTGCCTTAGGTCCTGTCCCTAGTGAACTCACTATGACCTAGAGTATGTCACATCTCTTTTCTAGAGCTCTGTCTTCTCTAAACATAGACTAGGCTATTTTTGTTTTCAATTGTTAATATCCTTTTCTCCCCTTTTATATCTAAACTTAAAATATAAGTAACTGTTTCTAATATTCATTTTCCTTTTTGGTGCTTATGAAGTTCTCAAACAATTTTGTTTTCTGGATAATATAAGAAAAATGTCCAAAGAAAACAGAGACACTGGGAAAAGATAGTTGCAGCAAAGAAGAGCAAAAGAAGGCAAGAAAAAGAAAGAAGAAAAGCCAATCGTGTAGAAAATCCAGGTAACAATAAATTAGATTGTGTTGTCTATAGATTCCTAGGGAAGTAGGAATATTGCTTAAGGAAAAGCAGACATCTGGACAGTAGGAACTATTCTATTTTGTTGGGCATAAATACCAAAGAAAGCTAACTTTATACTGCCTTTCACAATAAACTCTAGCATACACACATATTTTAAGCTCAGAAGCAGAAGGAATGATAACATAAGCAGCTAACATTGATTTAGTAGTGTGTGCTAAGTTCAGTGCTAAGAATTTTACATCGATTTCCCTAAAGGTAGGCACTTCTATTACCCCCATTTTGTAGGTAAACAGACAGTGGCTCAAAGAAATGAACTAACACACCCAAGATCATACAGAGGTAACAGAACAAACTGAACTCTGATTTAAGCCCAACAGTGTCCCCTGGAGCCCACTATTTTTACCACTAAGCTATATACCTAAATCGTTTAGTGAATGACTACTTAGCACAAATCTTTTCTCTTTATGTGCAAAAATGAATGGGGAGAATTGTATCTTACTAAATATTCCTCTGTTTTATCACTTTTGTTCTTTTCTGCTATTTCTACACTAGGTGTCTCCCCCCAGCACAGTAAACGTTTTCTGAAGTCATTAACCAAGGAGAGACTTCTAGAAGCCAAACACTCAGGACCAAGACTCTGTATCGATTTAAGTATGAGCCACCACATGTCTAAGAAGGTAGGCATCCACTAAGCTCTGAATTCCTGCTCACGTGAAGGAAGCTCAGGAGGGAACTTGACTTTGCTTGTTTGCTTGCACAGAGAGCATGACCTGATTCGAGACTAAAGCAAATGTTCCATTTTCTACACCTGGCTGCTCAGTTCTGACCTGGCTGTAATATGGAATGAGGAAGAGAATAGACATTCTCTGGTTTAGTGTATAGATTTTTGCTTTAGTTTGCTTTGAGTGACACCCCTTTGTCTCTGTGCTTGTGGTATCTCCTCTCTAGATGGAACCTTCCAGGTTTAGTTCTCCAGAAACAAAATCTTTGGTCTTCTGTTTAGGAGAAAAGTATTGCCTGGTAATATCATGTGGGTGGTTGCCTAATGGGAGGTTTTCCTTCAATGTGGGGCCTTTCATTCATCCTTATGAGGGAGGGACTTCTGCTCTTAAGGTCTGGGGATGGCTGAATACACACTGGGCACATGAAATTAATAGCAGATTATTAGTCGCGTAACTCAGCCCACATTGAGGGCTGGCTGCATGGCGGTTACAGTAAGGAGAACCTTTTCTTCTCTACCTAGTCAAATTGGTCAGATTGCAAGAAGACCTCTGTAAAGTACTTATTTTACCCGTTGTTATAAAACCCAATCCTGTTATATCTTCTGAAATTAGGGAGGATGTGCCAAGTTTATCTGATAGAGTATAAAAATTTGTCATCTAACTGCTTTTCATTAAGTGGTAAATATCACATGGTAAGATTTTAGATAAAAGTGAAAATAAGTTTCATATATAATACTAAACATGTAACAGTAGGTCAGGAGTAAGCAGAGATTTTTCCCATTAACTGTCTAGTTCTTGGCTAGTTTAACTGCCTTAACTTTCACATATAAGGTGCCATTGGCTAAGTGCTCACACATACATGCAATGTACTCAGTCCTGGATAAAAAGGAGTATAGTTCATGGGATTTTTTGGAGTAGCATTCAATGACTTGACTAACAACTTGTTGATAATGAATTTAAAAAGAGAGAGAGTGTTTCTATCCTGAATTATCCTTATTCCTTTGAAGGAATTAAGTAGACTGGCTGGACAGATCCGACGATTATATGGTTCAAATAAAAAAGCTCACAGGCCATTTTGGATTTGCCTCACTGGGTTCACAACAGACAGTCCCCTATATGAAGAATGTTTGCGGATGAATGATGGATTTTCTAGTTACCTGGTAAGTTTCATCTTGAGTATTTGAAATATCATCTGAAAAGTAGATTGTAGGGTAGTAGTTAAATTTTTTCATATTTTGCTGCAAAAATACATGTTTTCATAGTTGCAGTTTAAAAATTATCAGAACTTATGAGAAGTTATTTTTCAAAATTTCATCCTTGTACCACACTGACAAGCTAGTAATAGCAGTGTCTAGGACTGTGTATTGTATCCTGTGTATCATATGGCAAGCTGTAGACAGCAGGAATGATGTTTTGGGGATGTGTCAGGACACCCTAGTTCTTAGCAATGCAAAATTAGAAAACACAGGTCTAGGGGGAAGAAAAACACTCCTTATGGGGGCTATACAGATTTACAATGAGTTTTAGGGAGTATGAAGGTGCTTTTCAACTCTTCCTCTAGGATCACATAAATATAGTGATATATGGCAAGATTCCAGAAAAGTTGCTAAGAAATGTCATTTTAATAGCCTCATATGTTGCATTGTGTAGCTGAGGGTGGGCAGTATGGGCCTCCTTGGGTGGCCCACAGACACTGTGTGTGCTTCTGAATGGCAAAAGTGGTTGCTGTAACAGTCTTTCAGGACATCCTGTACAGAGCAGCCATTTCCAGCTTCACTTCGTGTTGGATGATGCCTGTACATGAGCGAGCAGATCTACTTGCAGGGCCTTGAAGCTTCTTACTTTGCTGTCTTCATAGCTTCTGAGCTGCTTCTCTCACTTTGAATGCTTCTTCCTTGCATGTATGTCAATCTCTCCTTTCAGAAACTCACATCCATTCCCTTCACTACAAGTTCATTCTTGGTGTGGTCACTCCCTCACCTGATTATATGGCATGTTCCCCATACATTCCGTCTCATTTTATAGGAATTTTCTCTCCAGCTGACTTTCTAGAAAAGGTTGTCAGACATGTAGCCCCTAAATGCACCTAGATAAAACTAGATGCCTGGTAACTGATTGCTGCGTGGGTGCTCTGTCTTAAGTGTGTTAGCTCTATACTGAATTATTTGTACTTTCAGCTGGACGTAACAGAAGAAGACTGCTTCAGTTTATTTCCTCTGGAAACCCTTGTGTACCTGACTCCTGACTCAGAACATGGTATGTATTTCACTGCTTGGATTCATATAGGAAATTGTTCCTTTATTTCATTATTCCTCATCACAAAATCTGTTAAAAGTACCCAAGTAGTCTCGTCCCCACTCCAGAAAAAAAGTATGAATACTATTACATATTTTGGGGGCACAAATAGCTCACTAGAATCTTTGCATGTCTTATCATGTGCACAGTGGCACAGGTTCGGGGTCTCCATCCTCAGCCAACCAGACTTGTGCCGCCTGCAGCCTTTCCCCATTTCTCTCGTCAGCTCCTCCCATTGACCCTTCTTAGATCAATGTTAGATAAATATTTTCTCCCCTAAAATCTATTTCACATAATTTTCAAATTTACTGGTATTTAGCTGATCTTAGTATTCTCTTCTAATTGTATCACATTCCTCTGTAATTTTTGTCTCCTTTCTGAATGTTGATTTGAGTATGCTGTCTTTTTCCTTGACTAGCTATGCCAAAGATTTGTCAAATTACCTGATCTTTATAGAGTTAGCAAGTTGTGCTATCTTGTTTTCTAGTCATTAAATTTCTACTTTTGTCTTTAATAATTCTTTCCTTTTGCTTTCTTTGGATTTAGAAATTATAAAACAGATTTGATCTCAATGGCCTTCATTTTTTCACTAGCTCTTGAAGATGTTGATCTAAACAAAGTTTACATCATTGGTGGACTTGTGGATGAAAGCATTCAGAAGGTAAATATACATATTTTTTTAACAACAGATTGTAATAAACAGATTGTTTATCTGTACAAGTAGCAGAAGAGGACACTAACCCCATGCAAAACACTAACCAAGGGAAACACCAGAACTTATGTCCTCACATGGGTGATAAGATTCTCTATTTTGGAGTCCGGGGGGACCAGAGCACCCTTGGGAACTGCAGTCACAACCTGGGCCTTGGTGGCAGCCTCGGGCTCTGGCCAGCAGAGCCTTGGCAGTGGAGGCACATGCACATTTCCAAGCTTGGGGTGAGTGACGTAGGCCAGATGGCCGATCTTGTGGCCACTGCCCCCCACTAGCCCCTACATGAAGCAACCCTTTTTGTGTATCCCTCTTCGTATATTCTGTGATCATCCAAGTATGTGTTTGTGTGTGTATGAAAATAAAATATATGTATAAAAATATATTTTATATGTATACGTGCATTAAAAATATACCCACAGTAGCTACATGCAAAAAAATGAAACTAGATCATTGCCTCACTCCAGTCACAAAAATCAACTCGAAGTGGATTAAAGACCTAGACATAAGAACGGAAAC